TTAGAATTTATGTCTTGTTGGAGAGGTGCTGTTTTAGAATGTTCTCTGCTGGCCAGTATTGGGCAGTGCATAAGTGACCATTCCTTTGAGGAGACTGGGGACCGAAGAGGCCTGCCACTACCTTGGTTAGAGCAGCGCCTCCCTCATGCCCAGAGCAGCGTCTGCTGTACACTGGCATGCTTTCCATGGCCTCTCTGGAAATGCATTTAAATTTCAGCCTGTGTTTGCCACTGTGTAAGGATGGAGGGGGATGGGGGCTTGTGGGGCCCAGCCTACCTTATGACTTGCTGTGGCTAACGACCTCTTGGGCGTGGCTCAGGTCTGCATCACTGCATCCTTCAGCCAGGCCTGGTCTATGAACACTACCAGTGAACAGATGTTCAGGGTCTTTCACCCCATTGACAGGTGTGCAAGCAGAGCTGTGAGGTCTGGGACTGTCCAAAGCCGCCCGCCAGGAGAAAGCCTGTGCAAACTCCTCTCTGCCTTTCTTTCTCCCGCTTGTCACTGGGCTCCCGCTTGTCACTGGAGCAGCCACCTTGGAAGAGGATGCCCTGCAGGCAGCACAGCAGGTGGTTTGTGGAGACTAATCAATGAAAGAAAATCTGCCAACCCCAAAGAGAAGACTGGGCCTGTTATATTTAACAAGAGATGGGAATTGGCTGGGCTGCAGTGTGCCTCTGACAGCAAGCAGTTGGCACAGAGCAGAATCGAGAGCCCCACCCACGGCCAAGCCTGCTGCTACTGCATAAGGTTTCTACATTAAACTATAGGTGGCCTTATTTAAAAGCAGACTGTTTTATACGTCGCATAGTGCTGTCTAGACTGGGGAACATTTATGGACGTGGCTGCAGTGTGTCAGACACACACACACACCTGAGCCCCTTGCCCCAAACTCGCCCTCTGCCTTGTGCTGCAAAGAAGTGGATTTGGGGTGGGGGAAGATGTGTGATTTAAGAAATCTGATCATCAACCCTAAGCCCTCTGCTTCTCTCCATGATCCTTTGTAGACATGCAAGTTGAAAAACTGGAAAAAAGGGGGCCTTTCTCTGTAATGTAGATGGTTTGGCCACAAGAGGAGTGACATGATTTTTGTTGTAATTTTCTCTCATTGTTGGTGCATCTCTACCACCCTTTGCCTTGAGGACATGATGGACGTGTCCTCCTGCGTGTATGGCCTAGTCAGGGACAGGTGCTCAGAAAGAATGAACAGTCACAGATGATGAAGCCTGAGGTCACGATGACATTGCATTTCCTTGTTTAGCTGGTGGGCATTTGCAAGAAGGAAATTGGGGTGACCCTGGGGTTGCTTTATGGGTTCAGGCTGTTTGCCTTCCTGTCTGTCTGAATCTAAGGATGCAGGTACCAACTGTACTAACAATGGTTTCAGCTATCTTGAGCTTACCATCTTAGGTGACATTCTATTCCAAGACCAGGATGGTGCTGTCCAGTCTTGTCTTCACTTTGGGGAAAACAAACATGGTCTCCACATGTAAGACCTCCACTTGCTGTGTCTTGAGGAACCAAGGGGAATTCAAGTTTGCTTTGAGGAAGGAAGGAAGGGTCTGCTCATGGGACACTGACTCTGAGTAAAAGTGACTGACATTTACTGAGCAGTTACCTGGTCCAAGCATGTCTTAAACACCCCACATGCAGTGTTTATAGGTCCCGTGAAACAGATTCTGTTAGCTCCTCACAAATGGATGAGCACACCGGGGTATGGAGAGGATACATAACCTGCTCAAGGCCACACAGCTAGAGGGTGGTTTTAGCCAGGGTACTGAGCCATGTTTCTAGCGTTTACCCCATATCTGCACACTAGCTCAGTTTACCTTTACCTTCTTGAGGCAGAAACCCATTTAGGGGCTGTGGTTCTGGGTCTCCATTCTCTACGCCTTTAAAAAAGGAACTTTTGGCTGTCGGGGTCCTACACAAACAAGCCTAATGTGCAACAAACAAGAAAAGAAAAGACTCAGTTGTTAGCTAACGTCCTAAGGAAGATGGAGTGGGACGGGTATAGACTAGGGCAAGCAATGTGGCTGTGCCAGTTGGAGAAGGAGGAGGAGGCATGAAGTAGAAGCCGCCGTGAGAAGGATGCCAGGACCCACAGTGCACAGAGCTCTTCACAGTGTCTGCCTTCTGTGTTAGATGCTTGCTGGACGCTGACTTTCAGGATGGCTGTGACAGTTTTCTTGGTGTGCCATGAACTGGCTGGTTCCACAGTGGAACCCAGCGTCTGCCTGGCAGTTGCACTACATTCAGTGGTTTCTGGCTTTTGTTTCCCCGCAATTCCCACCACCCCATTCGAAACGGGAGCAGAAATGGGCCCCTGGCGTTTTTTTTGGAAGATGTGCTGCAGTCGCAATGGAGCTTTTGTTGGAGGGACAGTTGTCACCCTGGTCATTAGCGGTCGTGGAGCCGTGGGGTTTCTGCTCACTGAGTGGGGCTTGATCAGAATGTGGACACTTTCCTTTCATGCCCAGCTGGAAGCATTGGCTTGGCAGTGGCACCCTAAGACCCTTGGCCTGCCGCTGGATTCCTGCAGGGAGTGGACAGAGGGCTCATTTTCTTATGTATTAGAAGGTCCTTACTTCTCTGACCCTGGACGAGGAAGGCATGTATTGCTGTTGTGATTTGACAATGGGGCTTCCTTGAGGCCAAGTTAGGCTTGCTGCACAGCCAGAGGGGTGGTTTCTGTCCTTGGCCCATCTTTAGTTTTTGAAGGAATGTGGAAGTTGGTTCAGCAGCCACCCACATCCTCCAGGGCCTGTGTGTGTTCACTGTCTGTTTCATCCAGGAATCAGCGCCCAGGATATAGGCCTCACTCAGCCAAAATAAAGCTTTCCAGTCATGGTTTTCCTTCTGACGTAAGCAGAGGCGGCTTTTCCTGCTGCACACTGAATGGACCTCTCATGAGGGGCCTGAGCAGCGCTGAGTCTGGCACTGTGGTTACAAGAGGCCTTGAAGTTGGAAGCTTGTTCATCTTCCTGAAATTTTCTTTAACCAGCCCCCACGGTCCACCCAGGATGGCGGGGATGCCTCCTTGGATCCCCAGCTGTGCGTCCTGTGTGTTATACTTGTGCCCTTCTTGATTACCCAGGAGGACAGGATGTCAGGGAGACCAGAGATCATCTTTATGTGCGAGCATGGGCAGCATCATTTAGTGCGTGTGCCTCCCCCCTCTAAATAAAGAGTTTTGTTCATTTATTTAGTATGTGGGTGTGCATACGTGTGTGTACATGTGTGCATGTGTGTGAGTGTGTGCGCGTGTGTACTCATGTGTATCACAGTGCATGTGTGATGGTCAGAGACATCTTTACCTTTCAGGCGATGCTTTCCCCCACCCACCTTGTTTTCTGAGGTTTGTCCTCCTGCACTGTGTGCTCCAGGTGAGCTGGCTGCCACCGACCTTTCCGAGGGTGATTCTCCCTGCATTCACTCCCCTGGCACCACAGGAGTGCTGGGCTGACAGACAGCAGCCACTGTATTTGGCTCGCTCCACTCCTTTCCTCCCCCTCTCCCTTCCTTTCAAAATGAGGGTTACAGGAATCGAACGCCTGTCTCCAGGCCTTGCTGCAAAGCGCTTTTAGCTGCTGCTGCATCTCACAGGTCCTGATTCCTTCTCCTTTGCCCCCATCACCACTTTTTAGTCTAGGGTCTACTGCCCCTCCCATGCTGTTCTCGCCTTTCCTCCTTTCTCTCTTCACTTTTTCTTTCTACCTGATGCCCACCTGTGCTGAATGTCTGTTCAGGTCTGTCATGCGCCCAGCATGGGGGCCAAGGACCGGAGACAGCAGAGGTAAGCTCCCCAGCTGGGAAGGTAAAGGGCTGTAACAGTGCACATCCTGGAGAGGGATAGTGTAAGGAGAAATACCAGGGGCAGCTGTGCCAGCTCAACCAGCTTCCAGGAGGCTTGCACATAGCAAGGCCAGTAACAATGGCTCCCAATCCCTGATGCGTCTCAGGTAGAAGTGCTTTCGTGAACGTACGTTTCTATTTATAGTTGGTGGGGCTGGGTGGGGCAGGAGTTGCAGGTGTGGCTCCATTCCTGTTGTAGTGGGCTGGCGGCCACCCTGTGATGTCACCCGTGGTAGTCAATGCGTGGTTAGTTGTGGACTGCTTCTCACGTGGACTTGTTCTTTTGCAGATAACACCATGCCTTATAACCCAGAGGGATGGGCTAACTGCCTTTCACCTAGGAAAGGATGGAGGCCAGGGGAGAGCACATTTGGGGAGCTAAGCAGGCTTACATGTGGCAGTGGGTTGGGTGGAAGGCTCCCTGTTTTTGTTCATTGCCGACCTGTTTGCGCACAGACAGATCCGTTGGCAAAAGTGCTTTTCCTCATTAGACGCTTGTTACCGTCTGATGTCCTTTCACATGTCTGCGTGGCCTGCGTGCTGGCCTCGGCACAGACACTGGCAGGGAGCTTCTGGGATTGACAGGGGCTGGGCACAGAGAGAAGCTGTCATGCCCTTTGCTTTGTCCCGGTCCTTTATAATCGAACCTGCCTGGGAAGGGAGGAGGATGCAGGAAGGATTTGAAGTCTAAGGAGATGTGTGAGCGCAGCCTGGGTTGGAGTCTTCAGAATGAAGGGCTGGAGGATGCGCTGGCTTTGGGATTGGCCACCCAGTGATTTTTGCTTGTTTTTAAGCCATCACTACAGCTTCACAGTGAATCAAATGCTTAGATCTCCCCCCAGTGATTGGCCTGCAAAGCTGCCTCACCTTTGACCCCTCTTTTACTCCCAAAGGATCCAGACTCCTAGGATAAATGAATCTTGCCTGGTTAAACAGCCACTGCCTAATGAAGAAGACCCAAAGCCCAGGCTGTTACACATGGAAGGCATGACAGGGGTTGCTGGGGAGCTCTGTTGTGGAGGTTGTCAATTTGGCCAACAAGCAACATCTGTATTTATTTTCCACCCCACCTCCCCCACCCCCAACAATGGCTGATTTGCGTCTGTTTAGTTCTCTGAGTAACATTTCATTTCCTGACTTTATAGGTTGCTATAAAATCCATCCGTAAGGACAAAATTAAGGATGAACTAGACATGGTTCACATCAGACGAGAAATTGAGATCATGTCATCCCTCAACCATCCTCATATCATCAGTATTTATGAAGGTCAGTAACTCCTCTCCCTCTACTTCTGTGTTAGTTACCATTTCACATACCACAGCAGCCTTGCCAAGACTTTGAGGTAATTGCCCTTCTGGGCAGGAGCCAAATATTTTGCTTCATGATATAAAAATAGCCAAGCATTATCTCTTACTTGGTTACCTTGAATGCAACTAGATACATGTAGGGCAGCTCATCTGAGTCATGAAGCATCCCTGGCTGCGCCTTCTTTCCTCCTCCCAGTTCCTTCACTTTGGCTGTTGCTAAGTAACCTGTCTTATTGAAAGCCAGTGTGCTGGGAAAAAGAAAAAAAGGCTGCTTGCTCGGTGACCAGTAGCAGTGGGTACGTTGTCAGCGTCATCGGCATTCCTCAGACTGATGCCACTTCGGATGAAGAGGTCCTCCAGGTCATTCTCTGTGAGTTGGAAATAAATTCAGAGGGCTGAAGAGTCAGGGAGAAAAAAGGCCCTGGAGGCTTCCCAAGGGGAGTCCAGCTTGTAGCTGGTGTTTATAAAGCGCAGGGCAGGGAAAGCTTGTAAAATGCTGAGCTTCGCCGTAGCTTTGGGCCTTTACAGGAGGAAACAGAATGTCTAAACCTCCCACAGCCAGTAATTCTTCATATTCTGTGAAGACATTACACACGCCGTGACTGTTCATTACAGCAGATTGAAAAACAAACCTCAAGGTCAACAACAGTTTCTCTTCTCACTCACAGTTTGACAAATAATTCTTACTTAATTAAAAAAAAAACACCTCATTTCTCTCTTTATGTGCGGTTTTTATTCAGGGATAGATTATACCTCGCTGGTTGCTCTTTTGCTGGCTTTTTATCATTTTATATCATGCATCTCTGTGTCAAATAAAGACTTCCCATAAAGACATTTTACAAGGCTTTATAATATTTCATTTAGGGGCATACCATAATTTATTGAGTCTAATTTCTTTTGTCAAATATTACTGTTACTCCAGATTTCTAGTCGTTACAAATAGGGTTTATGGACCTCCATTTATGTATTCATATTTGATTATTTTCTTATGAAAAATTACTGCTTTTAAACTTATTGAGTCCAGTGTTTCCCCATATATATAAATATATGTAAATAAAATGTATTTTATTTTAAGATATATTTTAAATATATTTGTATTTGTATGAATACAAATATGTATTTATGTATATTTTTTTGTCTCACTATGTAGCCTTAGCTTGTCTGTAGCTCATAGAAATCCTCCTGCCTCTGCCTCCTGAAGGCTGGGATTAAAGACCTCCCCAGAATATTTTTAAATATGTGGTTAAGTCAGAAAAATGAACTTCTTTTAAAAAATGAACTTTCTTTTCATTTCTGGCCCATAAAAATGTCTCAGGTAAAGAAAGTAAGATGGCAGCACCAGACTTTTAGTTCTTCTTCATCTGTGTCCTTCGTCTTTTTTCCCTGTTGCTTCTCATCGAGAAGTCAACATTGGTAATACCATTTCTGCTTTTTTCAGTCTCAGGGGCTGTTTGTTTGTTTGATCTCCTCTAGGATTGAGTTTAAAAATATGTAATTTTAATTTTAAATTATATGACTATTATTTGTGTGGGTCGATGATGTATGTGAGAGCCATGCCCAAGGAGGTTAGATCCCCTGGAGCTGGAGTTACAGGAGATGGTGAGCCGCCTGACATGGTGGCTGGGGCAGACTCGGGTCCTCCGGAAGAGCAGTGTGCTTTCTTACCCCCTGAACATCGGGAGAGCAGTGTGCTTTCTTACCCCCTGAACATCGGAAGAGCAGTGTGCTTTCTTACCCCCTGAACATCGGGAGAGCAGTGTACTATCTTACCCCCGAACATCGGGAGAGCAGTGTGCTTTCTTACCCCCTGAACATCGGGAGAGCAGTGTACTATCTTACCCCCTGAACCATCTCTAACAGTCTGGGGATGGGATTTTTTTTTTTTTTTGGTTTTTCGAGACAGGGTTTCTCTGTGTAGCTTTGTGCCTTTCCTGGAACTCACTTGGTAGCCCAGGGTGGCCTCGAACTCACAGAGATCCACCTAGCTCTGCCTCCCGAGTGCTGGGATTAAAGGCGTGCGCCACCACCGCCCGGCTGGGATTTTTTTTAAATGGAAATTTTCACTTATTCAATTACGTATTGATTTTACAAACGCCTCTTCAGTGGCACTTTGAAGTGCAATGTCTGGTCAGCAGCCTTAGAAGATGAGAAGACATGAGTCTCAGGTCCTGGTCTGGGACCACAGAATGGGAAAGTCTCGGGCCAGGCCAGGCCAGGCTAGGCAGTTTGGCAAGCTTCGGTTATGCACAGGGTTAAGTGGACTACATATGTAGCACGGATAAGACTTGCATCATAAGCAAGGAACTGCAAAGCAACATGGACAAAGTGTTATGTGGGGACTGGGGTGCAGCTCAGTGGTGGAGCACTTGCCTGATGTGTGAGACCTTGGGTTTGAGTTTTTAAAAAGTATTCTGTAGTTAGGTGAGTATCATAGAGTGGGACCACAGAGGCTTTAGTGTTAGGAATGTTCATGGAGATGTGGGGCATCCTAGCTGATCCTTAAAGATTTTTGGAGGGAAAAGTTAGAAAAAACAGAAATCCGCTTTAAAAAACAAAGCTAAACTTGCCTGGTGAAGGAGGTGTTTCTGGATGTTAGAAGTGAGCAGATGCACTAATGTGGGTGAGAATGAATTTCCTAACTTTTTGAGGGGTTTGCTCTGCGTGGGTCCGTTACTATGGAAACCGGAAAACCAAAGTGAAGGATGCCCTGTGTAGTGTGGACTAGGCTGGAGTCCTGTGATATGTGAACACTGCTGTTTCTGGGTGATCAGCTTTGCACCCAGCATGGGCTTCTCCAGTTTCTTATTTAGGAGACCACCCGCAGTAACTGACTTCCGGCATGGAGAAAGTGACTTCAGGTCAGGGTTAGGGAAGCTGGGAGCCAGACAGGATCAGTGGGGAACAGGAAACCATTGTCCTCCCAAAGGGAAAGGCCGAGCTGGACCCTTACACAAAAGTATTCTGCTGCCAAGGTTGCCTTGGTCATAGTCTGTCCCCTCCTGGAGGATTCTGGAAGAAGAGAAACCCTGTCATTATCACTTTAAAGATGGCTACTGTTATGAATGATGTGAGTTAAAGTTCTTTTGGTGACTAGGACTGATCTCCATCAAGGCCTCAGGAGGGAGGGGCCCCATTTGTACCTTGAGAGCATGTTTTAGGCAGTCAGAGAAGAGCTTGAGTTTGCAGGTCAGACAGACTTGGGGTTCAGCTCTAGATGTGGCCTAGACGGAAGAGTTTGGGGAAGATGGTGGGCGTCAATATCATACCTATCAAATGGGCATGGCAGGCTGGGGACGAAGCTCAGTGGCAGAGCACTTTCCAAGCATGCATGAGGCCCCATAGTACCATAAGAAGGATGGTGACCACCATATCTCTCTCCTAGGGCTGCTGTTAGGATTAAATGGCATGGCACACACAGGAACTCAAAAAGAGAATTATGATGGGGAAATACAGTTATCACATTCCACTACATGCAGTTGGTAGCTACCATACTGAGCAGTGTAGGTCTAGAACATTACCCCAGAAGTTTCCTTTGGACAATGCTGCTATATATTGTTTATGTCCATACACATGGGTTGCTTTTTATTTCTGAAGGTAAGTCACATTCCTTTCATTGACGCTGTAGGGATTCCTGTCTGTAGATAAGTTAAATGGGTTAAAGACATCCCATTGTCTTCGTGTGTTTTAGACCAGCAAATGCTATGCAAATAAATTTTCCAGGGACTTTCATGTAGTGTTTTTGTTTTTGTTTTGTTTGTTTCTTAAAATTCTCAGCTTTCAGGTCTGTTCTCCCACACAGGCTCTGTGTCTCCCACATCCACTGGGGATGAGGGCAGCTCTCCAGTTCCCCAGGGGCTGGGAACAGGCTTGCTGAGGCTATTCCAGCCCTCACACCTCTGACTATGACCCTGCTTTCCATGGTCCCATGACTTTGTCTTCCTGCCTAACATCCCAGGGTCTAGCTCCGTGGGTGGAGTTGGATCTCCTAGTGTTCTCTGTAGAGCCCTTTACAGAGTACAGAAGTCTCTTTGGATCCCCACTGCCAATCTGTGAGGTGGGAAGGTCAGGTGTGCCCATTTTGTAGTTGTGGACACTGAGGTCCTGGGAGGGTAATAATGACTTGCTGGGTGTACTCATTTGCTAGGGCTTTGGTAATGCAGTACCACAGGCTGGCAGCTTTGAAAACAGAAACCTGCTTCCTTTCCATCCTAAGGGCTGGCATCCAAGACCAAGGTGATGGCTGTGAGGTCCCTTCTGAGGCTGTGACAGGGAAGGAGCTGTTCCAAGCTTCTCCATCTTCTCACAGGGTCTTCAAACCATCTTCCCTATATCCATGTGCAAGTGCTCTCCTCCTGGATCATACTAGGTTAGGGTCCATGCTAATGGCTTCATTTAAACTTAATTATCTCTGTGAGGACATTTAGATGGGGCCCCATAAGGCTTCAACCTCAGTTTTGAGCAGGGGACACAATTTGGCTGGTCACACAGCCAGCTGGTGGTCTCCTGACTACATCCTTTTTTCCTCCCAAGTGCCTCCACCCTGCTGGCTCCGTGGCCATGTCGCCTGGCCATTTCTTTCCTGACCTTGTTGCCCATCCAGGCCTGAACTTCGACAGAGGAGGTGCAGAGGCGCGGGGACAAGGGGAGGCCTTGCACGTCTGGGAGATTGTGTGCTGATCCCTGCCACTCCCAGAGTGAGAGGGAATCTTCTGGAAACTGAAGGATGACAGGCCATCCAGGAGTCTGTGCTGAGTACAGACATGTTCACTTGCTTCATAGATTGTCTAAGTGGCCATCTGGACATTAGCTAAGTGAGTAGGCCTTAGAAAAGCACTTTACAGTTTCCTCTTCAATAATGACTGCTACGGTCATCCCAGGTGCGTGTGTGGGTGCGTGTGTGTGTGCGTGCGTGTGTGTGTGTGTGTGTGTGTGTGTGTGTGTGTGTGTGTGTATACATGG